TCCGTTCCGGGCTCGTCTCGCAACGATGCCATTTATCACTTAAATCGCGCTCGAAGAGAAACGATGATTTCCGTCCCGCTAGGCGTATTACTTTTACATTCGGGACCGAGCACGGTGCCCACCTCTCTCCCCCAGCCTCTATTATCGGTGGCCATCGTTTCAACTGCGTCTCGTTACCGCCTCCAATAAACCATCCGCCGGGCAAACAAACAAACAATCGTTCGAAACCGCGAGGAAAGAACCGACTGCGATCCCTGGGTGTACGATCCACCATCGTGAAAACTGGAACGAACTTTCCTGGAACGAGTTACCTCCCTCTCATCGCGACGCGCGGGATAAACTTCCCTTCGTGGGGAACTACGCTCAACCCTCGAGCAGTATCGTTTAAATACAAGGACAGCAATATGAATTTGTAGTAATTTTGTCAGAGTTTTGGATTTTGCATTTATTTTTATTTTGGTGTTTCTTAATCGAAGTTAGAAGTTATGATAATCTCGGTTTAAATTTGGGTTCCATTCTGGCTAAGAAAAACTTCGTTTTTTTCTTCCTTTTAATTAAAATTGGACAGTTTAGATTTAAATTATTTAATATTGGTATTTTCTTAATTAAAGTTGGGAGATTAGATTAGATTTGGATTTAGACTATTTAATCTTGGCAGCGTTGATTAAATTCCATTTTGTCACTGGTCTCTGTGGTCTGGCTAGTAAAATCTGTGATTCGAAACTGCAATAACTTGGTTTTAAATTATTTAACCCCTGCACTGGGAGGGTTAGTTTTGGTATTTTTTAAATTAAAGTTTAGAATATCGAGTCTTATTTTATATTCTCCGTGACAGAAGATCAGTAATAGAATGAAATTTAATTATAATTATATAATAACTGTTACAGTCTTCAACTGGAGTCGAAAGTTAAAAATATCTTACCCTTTTCGAGAACGAATATTCAAAGTGAAAATTTGTAGAAATTCATATATTATTATAGTATAATATATGAAACAAATATGTCTTTAGTTTCCTTCAGTTCAGTTCGTAAAAGTGTCGAGTCGCGTAAACATTCAGAGTCTAACGATTAATTTCAGCGAGTTAACAAGTCATTTGGTCGAGTGGATAAAAATCAGTCCAGCGAGGCCAAGTAACCGTCCAGTTTCCTAGAAGGCCACGGAAACGACTTGGGTATAATAGCGAAACGAGGGAACGGTAGTCTGTAGGATATTCGGGAAACGGTTACGCCTGAAAAGAGGAATGCCCTTTTTCGAATTTCAGTCGGGAAGCGAGTCGTGAAGCGTAATTGAAAGGAGACGGGGATTAAAGGAGCGACGGATCAAAGGGATGAGCGCGGCGGCAATCGAATTCCATCGTGACACAGATACTTTATTAGAGCGAAACAAAAGAATCTCGGACTCGAGGGAGCGTGAGCGGGCGCTCTCGCGCTCGTGCGCGCGCGTACTCGCCTTGTCTCCCTGCATCGCGAACGGAGGGTTAATTTATGTACGGAATGTAGCGGTCTTTCGAACTGGTGGCCATGTTGGTTTCGACGTGCCCGTCAAGATATTTCTCCCCCTCCCCCTTCGTCGTCGTCGCCGCATCACGCGAGCCCCTTTCTCGATCTTCCACCCCCCCCAGAGCCCCACTTTTCTTGCCTCCGCGCCGCGCCGCACTCTGAAACACACGTGAGAAACCCAGGCGCGCACACACGAACGCGAGGGACGATGTGTGGTTCCAACGGAGAGCCGGGTGGCCACAGCGCATGCTGCACTGCGCACAACCCCTACTAGCTACCCTCTACTCATCCCACCTACTACACAGTCAGAGCTACCCTTCGGTTTCTGCACCCCGCTGCAACCCCTTCGGCTGTTCGTGCAGCCCGCCATGCAACCCCCCTAGGAGGCGACTCTTATTATTTCCATTTTTCCAATTCGGTCTGGGGGGCGGGAAACGTGCAACACCCTCCCCTCTGTTCTCTCTACACCCCCCCAGCACGGTTCCCTACCACCCACGAGGGTTTCTCTGTCTCTGTCGGTTCTTGCTGTTCGCCTGCGTCGCTCCTCCGCTTCTCTACGTCTCTCTATCTCCGTCTCTGTCTCTCCCCTAGGTGGCTAGCCAAAGGAAAAATATCTATATTTATCTGTTTCTTCGCGGGATATATGCCTGCCCCCTCTCCAACCCTCGTCTCCACCTCGCCTCGCCTCTCCTCACTGTTCCGTCGATTTCTTTTTCTTTCTTTCGCCACTCCACCTCCACCTTGCGAGTTTCTCGGTCTCTCCCACCCCTTTCTCGGTCTCCTCGTTACCTTTCCGTCTCTCCACCCGTTCCTCCGTCCTCCGTCTCGCTCCCGCGCTTTCTTTCTTCCTTTCTGGTGGCCTTCTCCTTACCTCCGCCCAACCACCCTCCTTCGCTACGGCGCGTTGTGGCGGTAGAGAGACAGATACGCGCGTCGGTGCGAGCGAGCGAGTCGGATAGACAACGGAAAGGAGGAACGGCGGCCGACGGTCGGACAGAGAGGGTAGGTAAAAAGCGAAGCAAAAGACGGAGAGAGGCACCACGACGACGACGACGACGTCGACGACGACGCCGGCGGCCGCGGCGAAGCGTGCGCGCCTTTCCTTGGCCGGCGGCGCGACAAGGAGAATCGAAGGAATGGACAAGGATAGTCAGAGCGGTAGAAAGCGGAGCAACGGAGAAAAAGCGGCGGAGAGAGAAGGAACGGCGAGCTTCCGCTTCCTTATGCTCCGCCGCGGACTGCATCAACCAGTCGCACGGTCGCGCTCACATAAGAAACTGGGATTCGAGAGGCAACCCCCTTCTCGCGAGCCGCCGCGCGGTTTCCGTGAGCGGAAGAAGAAGAGAGATTCGGTACACGGCCGATGTACGTGTTCGCGTGACGCGATTGTCAACGGCGGCGTCGTCGTCGGCTGAAATAATATTTCGTCATCGCTCGGCGATATCTCGCGCGCTGTCAGCCGCTCGCCAGTTGACGAGACTCCACATTTCGTCGAGAGTCAACGTTTTAATCGACTGGACGACGCTCGACTCGCGACTAAACGGCCGCTTACCCCCACCATCGCCGCGATTGCCGGCCACGAGCACGTCCGATCGCGCACGGAAACGCACGAGCGGCCGTGCGGCCCGTCGGATCGGGTCCTGCCGCGTTCGTCCGGCCCGCGCTCCACAAATCGCGTGCCTCGAATCCCCACCCACCTGCTCCGCTGGACATGAAGGAGGGAGGCCATCGGGCCTCCTGGACGACGACGACGACGGCGACGACGACAACGACCACGACGACAACGACGACGAATCGACTAGCCAACGTACGAGAAGACAACATGCCCTACGTCGTGAGAGCGACCATCTCGATGGATGCCTGAGGATGTTCCTCGATGCGACTAGAAGAGGAGGATGCTCCTCTATCCGTTTCCTCTTCCTCTTCTATCTCTACTTCTTCTCCTTCTCGCCGCGCTGCCTCTTCTTCTACCTGGCGACGGACGAGCCCGACCAGGCGGAGGAGGATCTCCACTGGGAAGAAACCAGTTCGCGGTTGAAGCCGTGTTTGTAACGGGGGTGCTGGCTCCTCGATGACGCTGTTGCACGCCAATTCGGCGGCAGGCAGACACAGACGGGAGAAGATAGACAGAAGAGGAGAGAGGGGAGAGAGAAGGAGAGCGTAGGGGTGACAGAGGGGCAAGAAACGATCAACCAAAGTTCCTATTTTTCACGTGTTTTATGCGAGTATCGCTTAACAAAGTAGGACGTAAGAAGAGAAGAGAAGAGGAGAGACAAGAGAAGAGAGAGAGAGAGAGACAGAGGGAGGGATTAAAAGGCGTTTTTTTTTCTCTCTCTCTCCCTCTCTCGTTCGCCCGGTGTTTGGTCCACGTCCGGGCACGTTCAACCGTGTGATATATAAAAAGAAGCGCGAGGAGAGGCGCGGAACGGTGTGGCGACCGCGTGACACGCGCCAACACGCACGCCGGAAAACCTCGTGTCCGCGGCACTAGGGACACCCTCCCGCGCTAATTAGCCAGCCAATTAGAAAGACCGCGGCCATGCGTAATGAGCTGCGCGCGCAAAAGTTCCTAAACGCCACGATACAATGTTTTTTTCATGCTTACGTTACGCAGGCGACCACTGATAATATTCGTAAGACGTAATAATAATACGCTAAGCCGTAGTTGAGTAAAGAATATTAAAAGGAGAAAGAAATAAAGAAAGAGAAACACTTTATAGCAAGTAGAAAAGAAAAAAGAAAAAAAAAACGCGACGCAAGCAAGAAGAGCTAGCCAGAATAATATATCGGAGGGGGGGGTGAGGGGATCGAGGCTTCTTCTTCGAGTTTGAAGATTCGAGGAAGTCGCTGGTTGATCAACGACAATGCTGTGTTCGTGAAGAAATCTTCGGGAAGAGAGGAAAATTCGTGTCTCGCAGCGTCCAGATTCGCCAGGCAATAAGAAGAGAAAAAGAAAAGAAAAAAAAAAGAAAGAAAAGAAGAGAAAACACGTACGAATTTAGAAAAGCAAAAAAGAGAATATCTTGGGTGGCTGTGTCGAAAACAGACAGAGTGCGCAATTGAAAGAAATTCGCGAATATCGTATTCAGCGAACAGATTGTTCCCGTTTCGAAGCAGCCTGTTTCCTCCAAATATTCCACCCCACCTCCCGCCTGTCCCCTTGGTTTTCGTTTTCTTCTCTCAACTTAATTAAACGAGGAACGTCGTTTCTCGTTTTTTTTTTCTTCTTTTTTTTCTTTCTTTTCTCCTTCAAACGACGTTGCATCGAGAGCGCTACCCACGTGGCCGCTCCACTTGCAAGCAATCCTCGCGACCGCGACCTGCGGTGTGATGGTGTCCTGTTTTTAACCACTCTGGAGCGAAACGATTCTCGCGCGTCACAACTAAAAAAAAAAAAGTATATATATACTATATCTATATATATATATATATATATATATACTTAGGAAATTAAGCGAAGAAGAGCAAATCTATATATGTATATATATATGTATACATACATCCATATTATATATACACACTTGGAAAAGCGTATTTAATTATATATTCCTATACACACGCAAGGAGCACATGTACAGGTATTTTAATAAGCTCGTGTATAATTAGCCTCGATTTAGCTGTTCCGAAGAGAGACAGAACGGAGAGAGACTGACGAGGGAGGAGGTACGAAACAGTAGAAGAAAAAAAAGAGGAAAGAGAAACGCGCCGGCGGATTTCTCCCTCGTCTTCCGGTTTCCGGCCAGCGAGCAACGCGAAATTTTTTTGCAAAACAGAAAAAGGAAAAAAGAAACTTGGGAAGATTTTGGCTATTTTTTTGATGAAAAACGACGAGAGACAGGGACCCGCGGAGGAGCACCGTGAAATAATGTCGACGATGAGCGTCGTGTCGAATTCGTCGGTCGAGGTCGACTCGGACTCGTCGAACGACGTGTCGAGCAAAGACGACGCACCCGCCGAGCAGAAGTTCATTCTGCGTAACGAGCTGTACAACAGCCTGCTGGCGAGCGCCCTCGGCAAAACGGTGCTCAACAGGCACCTGAACTTCAAGGAGCAGGGGATTAATTTTAATCTGGCCAATCTGAAGGATAACCTGAACGCGCTTGGCGCCCTTAAGGAGCTGAAGGATCTCAAGGGTTTGACGGTCAGCAGCGTACCGGCTTTCCCGAGGAACCTCGCTCTGCACAGGGAGGACCACGACGAGGTCAGGCCACGTTCTCTTCTTCCATTTATTTTTCGTTCGTTTCTTTGCGAATCTCGAATCTCGATTCGATTCGATTCGGCTTTCTTGTTCTCTCGCTGTTCTTCGGCTCGTTTCTTCTTCATTTCATTGACGATTGTTTCTCCCCCCCCCCCCTTTTTTAATTTCAGAATTTTTGCGTTTCCTCGATCGCTGGATCGTTGGTTTACCTTGATTGAGAAGCGAAAGTTGTCTCGAAAGTGATTTATGAATTTTTGATTTACTCTTGATTTTTTTATACGGGATAAACTTTTTACTAATCGATGGATTTTTTTTTATTTGTACACGAGTAGATTTTTTTAAAATTCTGCGATCAATGTTCGTGATTGCTTCACCCTGTTCTGCTTTTTCGTGCTTCGTTCCTCGTCGATGACTTTTGCTTCGCAGTTGATAATTTGAATTTTGCAATTGAAAACGATTGGTACGTAGTGTACCAATTTTTGAAATATTCCATGAACATTTCGCTCCATTTACTTTGGTTTTCTGTCGTCTTTCTCATTGTCGCCGGATAATTGAAAAGTAATATTTCCATCGGAAGTGTGGTAGCGGCGTTGGAAAGTTGGCCAGCAGCGGGAATGCAGATTTCATTGAATTATAGCGTGGCGAAAACAGGGCGCGTATAATTCCGTTATTGTCTCCGGATCTGCTGGCCAAATTTCCAGTCACCCGCGATAGTCAGTTTTCGGAGTTCTGCGACTAAATACGCGACGAAACAACGACAGAATCGAAAGCTAAACTAACGGCAAGCCTTATCTTTTGAAATTTCGAAATGTAACTTCCCTACGTGTAATTCCTATATAATGAGTGAATAATTTTAATTTCGTTTTTCGTGATTTGAACTCAATAATTGTCACAAATTTCAATAATATTGTATATTTAGAATGGAATATTTGCTGTTTCTCTTGAAATTTTGTTTCCAAGTATCGAATAAAGACGAGACTCAATTATTCTCGCTTCGTACAAACAACAACAGATGTAAAATAAAAGATGTAATAAAAATGTAACAAAAGTACGTAGGGGAAACAGATGAGTGAATATTTAACTCTTTATATCACACTTACAATTAGACTGCTGTAAAAGATCATAATTTTGGAAAGTGAATTGCAATTTCGTCAGATTTGAACTTCATTGGATGTCCAAACAAATTGATAGAATTTTGAAAAGAAGAAGAATCATACGTAAAAAGTCTTAACTTTTGGGGTTGATTTAAGAACAACGACTGACATTGGAAGAGAAAAAATTTTCTGCCTGTAAAATATTCAACAAAAAGAAAATTCGTACATTGGTCGGTCCTGACGATTTGAAACAATGAAAATGTCCAAGAATCTTATAATTCTCGAGGATTATTTCCAACTTTTCAACGGGGTTGAAAACTCGAAGTGGCATAAATATATATTCCAACGTTTCCCCGTTGATCGTGGATCATAATTATCGGGGAAGAGCATCGGCGACAACACCCTCTTTCGGTCGGCAAGCGCACGATACCGCTCGGCGGAAAAAAAGTAGGAAAAGTTTCGCAGTAAACAGTCGCCTTTCTCTCGGAGCCATTCCGAAGTTGCAGCATCAAGATCAATAATCCCCGAAAGATTCCACGGTCTTCACTGACCTACCCCTTTTCCTCGCGATTCAAGCAACCCCTCGAAAGTGGAAGAAAACAAATTCACAAATTCTTTCCGAGACAGGGCCGAACTCGGGCAAACAAATCAATCGCCACCAAGAAAATACGAATTTTCGTAAAGAAACTTCGTCTTCGAAGGAGGAAAGAAAAAAAAAAAAAAGAAAGAAAAAGAAAGAAGAAGAAGTAATCTCGAAGAAATTATCCAGCGTGCTCCACTTTTTCTTTCTTTTCTTTTTTTCTGTTTCTTTTTCTTTTTGAAAAACACGTGGATTAAGAGTAGTTTGCAAAGAATCGGGGGACACTCTTGAATCTTGAGCATAAGTCTTGCGGTGGAAAAGTTAGCGGATACTTAGAGCGAGACGCCCTGTCCCTGTGTAATGGCCGGGGGAAAACAAAAGGGGTTGTAGATGCGCAACTCGGCGAGATTTCGTAGTTCGCCGAGGAAGAAAATCCTGTTTGCTTGACAATTACTTTTTTTGTTCGAGTCTTCGACTTTCCAACTACTTTGTCACTTTCTGCTCAACTCGGTTTCTTTTTCTCTTATCTCTTCTTGGTGATCGCTCTCGGTGCTCTCTGAAGGATTCGTTTCTTTAATAGCTGATTTGTTGGTTGATTTCGTTGTGGCAGTAATATGACAAATAATTGTAATACATGGCGAAAATTGGTGGTAGTCCCAATGTTAAGGAATGACGTTCCGATGATATAATTAATATAATCAATATAACGAGTATGAAATGTTAGGAATGACAATATCAATTTCATGATATAATTATGCGAAAGTTTCTGTTTCATTCAGAAACTTTCAATCGTCAGTTTTATCGAAGCCTATATATCGAGTGAGAACTCGAAGTTCGTTATTTTTCTGGATTTTCTTCTTGAGGAATACTTGCACATACATACACATTTAACGTATGTTTTCACTTTATACTCTCTTTGACAGAGGTTAGCAACAAAATACATTTAATAAATAAAATTCTGGAGCTAAGAGTTTAGCTCTAAGTTACAACAATTCCCGATGATTTAACTTAACAACTAATTTACTAGAAATTAATTTATAATTCAGTAGAAATTAATACCAATTTTCCTCCTCACGACGTAATACTAAATATCAACATTTTCATTTCGATCTTTTTTAAATTCTTCAAACTTCCCCCGTCTAATAATCTTGTCTAACAATCGCTAAGTGATGTCTTTGTGCCACATTTCACCTTCGAGTTCTTTTCATTTTCTCCCTGTTTTCTTCTATATATTAAATATTTTCTTCTACGTTTATTTTCATAAATATACAAATATCCTCCTGCTCCGCGAGTCAATTAACGCGTAAATTTTTTGAAATTGCGACACGCGGCGTGCTCCACTTTTTTTTGAAAAGCGTGCAGTTTGCGAGGGACGTCTCCAATTACATTCGGGCGCGGGTGCGAACAAGCTAGATAGCTACAGTTGAAATCGGCGATGAAACAGCAGCGTGTATCCTCCTAGCTGGTGAAAATTTTTCCGCGGTTTAATTCATTAACCTGCACGGGGGTACGACCGCGACTCGACTTCCTGTTGCTTCCTTTTGCTTCTGGCCGAGTTATCGCCGTGAGGGCAACTTTTCTTGGCACGTTCGCGGTTTTGGCTCGGCTTCGTTGATTCCACGACAACTCTTGACCCAAATCCATGACGCACTTTTCCTCCAGTTTGTTTTTTTTTTTTTTTNTCCGTATCGACCTCGCCTCTCTCTCTCTCTCTCTCTCTCTCTCTCTCTCTCTCTCTCTCTCTCTCTCTCTCTCTCTCTTTTTTTTTTTTTTTTTTTTTTTTTACAGCGTCGAACGACGCCGAAACGTCTCACCATCTCAATTGCGTTTCTCGTTGCATTCTTTCGACCCTTTCCCACTCGTTTTTATGGTCGATAAAAATTACATCGCCGCGCAGAAGCATTTAAAATAATGCCAGGCGCGGTGAATTATTCTCGAGCTTGAATTATTCTGGATTCTTTTTTTTTTTTTTTTCACTCCCCTACCGAAATGTTGGTGAGGAATCTTAGGTGCGCGGGAATAAATCGGGATTTACGAGCGAGGCTCTTCGGTTAAATGGAGATCTTAATTTTTTACAATTCCTCGTGACTGAAGGGATCGAATTCGTGTGGGGATTTAATTGAATCTGGTTCTACATTCAAAGTGAAAAGTATGTTTCAAAATATAGTATATAAAGTATAAATCGAAGATCCATGAATGAATTGAATGCGTGCAATACAAATATTTTTTAGGTAAAGTAATTTTCAATCAGTGTTTTCTGTTTTACAAATTATATTTGTTAAAATACGACAATTTTAGCGTACTTATTTAGTTATTGCACTGTATTTGTCCAATTGTACCATGAATCATATTTTTATGAATTTTTGCGAGTACCTCACCTTGATTATTTATTCTATAATTTAAATATCTTACTGAATAACCTCACTGAACTGTAATTTAATAATCTTACTGAATTGACCTTCGAAAAATTACTTCTCTTACTTATCAGGAACTAAAATTTCTATTTACATATCCACGTGTATTTTGTTATGAATTCGTTATGCGATAGTACATCTTGCGCTTTCGTTCGTACCAACAACAAGTTGTAAAGACGTAAAATAAATGAGATTTTTTTTTTTTCATAATTCCTTCGAAGGATGAAAAGGATTTCTTTCCTCTGTTCGCTCTTCGGGTTTTTCGAGTTATCGTCGCCGCGAGAAAATGTGAGCCAAGACCAAGGAGAGCTTTCGCGAGATCCGTGCCCTTTTGAGTAGAATCGAACGACCGGGTTTTTGTCGGAGACGAAAGGAGTGGGGAAAAATAGTGGCGCACGGAGAGCGGAGTCGGTTGGTGAACGTGTAATTAAGTGCGAGGCAATAATGAAACGCATCATCCCCCGTGGCCGGAGAAATAACAGCCCCGTTGGTGCCCCGTTGGGATGGTCCTTTGAGGAACCAGCTCCATTCGTCCTCCGATTTCTTTCTAACGAGCTTTCTCACGATGCGTGTTCAGACGATCAATTAACAAATCCTCCTGGCCCGTTAATTACCGGTTCAATCGTTTGACAGAGTATCAAAAAGAAAATGCGAAATCTCACTCGTTAGAAATTCAGGGATGATTCATTGAGAAGTCAATTCATTAAGAATCAAACTACGATATTACAATTAAATTTCCAATCGAGCCAATTGTTGGAAATTTGTATTCTAATTTTAATTTAAACCCAGATGGAGTATGTGACGATCGTTAGAGAATGATCTAAACTCGAAGAAGTAGCATTTGGTGATATATAATTGATTGATTCTCAATGGAACATAATTTGACGCAACATTTGCGGATTGATTAATAATAAATTCAACGTTTTTTCGAGACTTTTAAAATTCGAATCGCTCACGAGTGGAATTTTTCAGATACTTGGAGAACTCTCGAAAAGTTGCCGGGAGTTTTCGTAATCTTGAGATAAAAAGAGATAGATTAGAGATCTGAAAAAGTCGTGAAAGTCTCGGGGCTCTTGATATTTCCGAAATTCTTGAAAATCTTGAATCTTTGGGAAGTTTTCGATAATTTTGTCGATCTCGGGAATCTTGGAAATCTCGAAAGTCTCAAGAGTCTAGAAACTCTTGAGGATCTTGCTTGATCCTTGAGAGTTTGGCATGCGGTCAACGTCTTAAATGCTCTAATTCAAACAGCATCGTCGACGTAGAATATTACGATAACATAATATAATATTATAATAAATAAAATAATATAACAAATATTTTATTTCGTTGTATTCGAACGACTGGAATTCGTGATAATTTAAATAATGAAATTCCTTCGACAAAATTAATTGAATAATTCGGACATGGATGTATGAAAATTCTGTAATTATTAAAATCATGTTGTTCATTCTTTAAAACTCGTGCTCATCGCGAACGATGCAAAAGCATCGTGAATTTGTGTGTTTCGTTTGTTTCTATTTTCATCGAAGGAAGGCTGAACGTTGTCAGTTGCCGCAGTTCGACGACGTATCGATTCGCCATCATCTGACATTTCTCCGTTTGCCTCTCGGCCATGAATTTCTCATCGGCGAACAGCCCGATGGTTACGATCGTTGCGCAATTATGCACAGTCGAATTCTCGCGGACGATTTATTCTCGAGAGCATCCACTTCTTGAACTTCAGGCCCGCCGGAATGAATGGATTTCATAACTCTTTCCGCTGTCAATTATCCTCTTAGCCTCTCCATCTCCACCGGATTTATTCTTATTCTCACTTGTGATCTGATACACACTTCACGCGGAAATAAACTTTCGGGAGCCCGTTCGATATTCCTGGGGCGAAAAGCCATCTCTCGAAATTTGAATTTTGAACTCTGTTAGAGAAGATTCGCGGTTAATTCTTGATAATTCTTGAAACTGAAATAGACTGTGTCTCTTGTAATCCACTGTCTATTTATGATCATTTAAAATTTTACCGTATAGATGTCAATATTGATCCAAAAATTGTGGATTCTATTTCATAATCTATTCATGATCACCCAATTTATTGAACTACGTATGTATATGTATTGTGAAGTAGACTAGAATTTTTGTATCACAATTTTACGGATACAATTAAATTAATTTACGAATGATCGTAAATGTATTGTAGAATAGAGTGAAATTAGAGAAAGTACTACAAAATGTAATTCTTTACATATATTTTATATATGCATACAGTTGCTCACGAAAATATTTGGACACTTTTAGAAATCTTTTGTTATACGTATTAAATGAAACGTTTCGATATTTCATTAACACTGCGTATACGATTGTCATAATTATATTAATGAAATTATATTTGAAAATTATATTTGAAATCAATTTTGGAAATGTATACAGAAATTATATACTTGGTAAAAAGATTAATATACAGCATGGTTAGTTATCCTAAACGCATAATATTTTCATGATTTTATACTTGTAATTTGTGCATGTATTTTTAAACTTGGTATTTAAATTTCACCACACAGTGTTAATAAAATTTCAAAATACTTTACCTATAACACAAGATGGGTATAGTTTTTCTTTGACAAATGTTCGAACACTTTCGTAAATCATAATATACTTTTTCACAATTACTATTCTCTTCGATCTCTAAACGCAATTTTAAAAAATGTAACCATTAATGCTTCTAAATATTAAAATATCTTCGTACTTTCAGCTCACCTGACGAGTTCAACTCGTCATTCAATATTCATAGTAAAATATGTCGCTCTCAATACGAAGATTGTAAATATTTCAAGAATAAACGTATAAAGAAAATTACGAATTTGCAAAACGTAAAGTACGAATAGCACAAATATCCACGAACAGCACTGAGCTTTCACAACTCGCAGCGTTCAGTATTTAGATAAAATCGTAATCCTTGATCGATACGACGATAAAATCGTATATCGTAAGTGCAGTTTTGACAAGTAGAACCAAGGATTTCGATTTAACCCGTTCAGGTGTCCCAGGCGCCACGCTCGTTGATTCATCGATCAATTTATTAATGAGGTCAGCTCTTCTCGTTGCGTTCGATCATGAATATCCGATGAAGCGATCCGGACAGAGACGAGAGCGAGTCTCATAATTACTGTGATTAATGCTCGCGAGCAGAATTAATTGCCGGGTTTATTCTCGAAAGTCGTTCGTTCGCGGAAAAATCGGCCAACCGGTCTCCAGATCTTCCATTTCATTCTATTGCCATTCATTCTTCCTCTTATCTTTCGAAAATATCTTGATACCTTTATCACGTATCAGCTTAACGTGATTTTCGTCGATTATCTATAATTCAATTCGAGCTCAACGCATCGAGGTGTTCGAAAGTTCATTTATTTTGAATATTAATTCTGGAGTGCTCGTTCGATCCTCACTCCTATTATTTTTTCTTCGGTGTACGTAGATCGAACGATTCTTTTTCTTAGTCTCAGCTGTGAAAATCGAAGAACAAATTCAAGTTGATCAAAACAATTGACCAATATTTTTTGTATAAAATAAATTCTTTTATTAAGTTAATTTAAAATATACAAAAACGTATTTCAATGTATGATGAATCAGTCAATTAATATTTTGAATTAACTTGGCAGAAGAATTTATTTTGATATTAAATTAATTAATTTTATACATATACAACTATACTTAAGTTTTGTGCGTCAATCAGAGACTCTAGATGAATGGAATAATAATATTATTCAAATCGGTAATGTGAACAAATAATTTCACGATGCCTATCTGTTAATCTTGTTTCTATCAATTTTCCCCTAATTCTTTTTTAAAAATCCCATTTGCAAAAATCGGCTATTCGCTCGCAGAAAAATCCCCTTCGAATCACCCCCCCCCCCCTTTTTTTTATTTTATCAAACCTTCACCCTAAGTTTCCTTCAATTTTCTCCCGCTGACCGATTTCCTCGTGCCGCTAATGTTTCTCCTGTTAATTTTTCTCTTCCTCCTGAAAAAATCGACCAACCGATCTTCGAGTCGCGTTTTTTTTTTCCTTTCTTTCTTTCACTTCTCACTGATCTTCCTTCCCCTTTCACCTTCCCTCCCCAAGTCCTTCTGTATTTTCTAAAAAAGATCCAACCGGTCACGCAACAAGTAGAACGAAATCTCATCCCGGTGGTTCGAAGGAATACGAGCAGAGTAGCCGGAACGTTTAATCCGCCGGATCGATCGATCTCCAATTAACCCGGTTGCTTTTCTACCTCGCAGAAAGCCTCTTTCGCGTGGTCCGAGGGCGGCGAGGAGGGCGGCGGTGGCGGAGGAGGCGGCGGTGGAGGCGGCGGAGGCGGTGGTGGAGGTACGGCTGGCACCGGTACCGGAAGCACGGGCCCAACCGCCACCGGAGGCGGTGGATTGGCCCATTGGGTCAGCGTGATGGCGGAACACATCCACAATCCACACTCAGCCACTGGGGTGGGCGGTGTCCATCATCAGCAACAGTCACCCCCGCAGCCACCCTATCCGTGGAACAACGGCCTCTCCGGTGATGTGAGTACACACACACATATATATATATATATATATACACACACACACACACACACACAGATGCATATACTTTTTTTAATTCGACGGGATTTTTCTCGCGGAAAAGTTTCCTTGTCTCACGCGCGCACGCGCAGGGAACAGGGGGATGTTTCGAGGACGAAGAAGAGAGGAAATTTCAAATATTAGATGTTTCTCTAAGCGATATTGGCTTCCGTTTAAAAATTTCGAGTTTCTTTGAACATAATTTCTTTGTTCGTAATATCATTTTTTTTTTTTCTTATCGTTATATTGAAATTTTTGTTATTTATGTATGTATATTTTTAATATCGGCGCTGTGAGGAGGAATCGCTTTATATTTTCACACTTTTTTTCGTGTGTCTTTGCTAGAAATTAATCGAGAACACTATATCGTGAAATTATTGGAAATAATAATTGATAATAATTACGTCAACGATAGAAAAGCATTTAGGATGGGTGTATAAAGGTTGAAGAAGAAGGATCAACCGATGTGATTTTAAAATTTACAATTACTTATACTATCTCTTTACGACAAATAATTTCGTGAAACTTTAAATAATTTTTATTTGCAGTTATTCGAAATGTTGGATATTAATTATATACCTAGAAATAATAGAGATAAAATATCGGATGCTGATCGCGAAACTAAATCCTTCATCATCGAGTACTATCGTGCAAATTAAATTAAATTGAATACTATTAAATTAAATTAAATTAAATTGAATACTATTAAATTAAATTAAATTAAATTGAATACTATTAAATTAAATTAAATTAAATTGAATGCTAATCACACAAATACTAGGATAATAACATTAGAAATTTCGTATAGTCTGAAATCAATCAATTTCTCTCAAGAAACTCAAGAAGGTAATATTGCCCCAATGTATTAATTTTTAAACCACAATTCTTCAAAGAATCCGAGAGGAGTCGTAATCTTCGTCTCGATCGTTAATCGAAGAAACACTATAAACCCCCAGCTCGTTCCACAATCAGGCTCGAATCTCCGCCATAATTTTACGCAATCTACGCTTCGAATCTCGCAAATTTCCCGCCGATGTCGTCTCCCCTATCTCGTCGTCGTTGAATTAACAAGTTCGGAGTGTTAGCGACGTCTCACGAGCAAACTTTCCCGCTCCTGATTTGACCGTGGCTGAAACAGCATGCAACTCGCCCGTATTTTTTTCACAATCAAATAATTCGAGGACTAATATTATACGCGACGTGTTACAAAGCAGGGGCCGGTGGTTAATTGGCGATCTCAGCTGGATCTCCGCCGCGAAACATTTTACGACCAGCTTTTCGCTTCTTCCGCTGGTTACTGTTACAACTGCGGCAAGCGTTGTAAAATCGCTTCGTCGGAGACGAGGGCGCCAGCTTGTATCTGGACGGATTCGAGACCCTCTCTGCTTTATCTGCTTTCGTTTTGTCCGTATTTCTTCCACGAACAGGTGTAAACTGGCGTTCGCAGGTTGCCGCGTTTTGAATATGATGAGATCGGATTGAACGAAGCGTTTCAGAGGATGGAGAAATCGAGTCGAGTTTCGCAACGACTCGTTGATGAATTTCATTTTGCTCGTCGGCTGTTGAAAAGCCGTGTGCGAAGTTTGATTTGTTTCTTTAATTTGAACGTAATCGGGTCAGTCCTTTGTTAGTTGAGCTGGTACTAGGATATTTTGTACGGATAATTTGGAATGCTTAAAACGTTATAAAAATATATACTAATAAATACTAATAATAATAATAATGATAAATAGTGTGATATAAAGAAATGTCATTTACTTGTTAGAGATTCGAATTTACTTGAGATTGCAATATATTGAATAAATTCATATTCATTTGATATTAAACTTTTAGACTTTTGGTAATTTTAAGCATTCAAAGAGTTAATGTAATGGGTAATTGACGGTCTATAAAATTTTCACTGGTTTCCCTCTTCGTTCTCTATTGCTTTTTTCAAATATAATTCTGTCTTTACAAAACGTCGTTTGTTTTCTTATCATTAATTTTTCAAACTTTTTTTCGTCCGTCACTGTTTGCGAGAGTAACTATAATCATCGTACTGATAACAAGAAGGTTAATTTTTTAATTTCCACAATTTAATTCTTAAATAATATCATAAAATTAGGACTAGAAATGAAAAGAAATTAGTTAGATTATTTAAAAAATTGGATTACTAAAATGGTTGGATTAGATTACTAAAATTAGATTGCTACAGTCAGATCGCCAAAAATCCGAAAGAATTTATAACTTACATTACCACAATCTCGACAAATCGAATTAAAATCTTAAAAATTCAGTCCGAACAAAACCTATGTTTTTTTCCCCCTATTATATTCCAATATCCAATCATATCGTTCTAAAGATTCCTCAAAACCCGTATCATCAAAAAAAAAAAAAAAAAAGAAAAAGAGAGAAAGGAATATTTTTTACACTCGAACAGTAGTTGGTACTGTGAATTAATCTTTTAAGCGTTTACGTGTCGAGTATACTATAAGAGAATGGAATTTTTTTTTTTTTTTTGTTTACAGTTTTTGCTATTTATTGTAAAATTCAGGTAAAAGAATTATATATATACTTGTAATGTTAGTATATTTCGAGGGGACAGAGAAAATATACACTTTGTTGTTCAGAGAAATCGACACAATGCAAAAACAAGTTAAAATTTGTCTCTTCAGTCATTATAATTTCGCAAATATTTGATTTTAAAAGACATTCAAGTTCTTCTCTCCACATTTTTGAATTTTCGGTGGTTTCTTTTCGTGGGATGATTTTCAAAAAATGAAACGTCAAGTTCTGTAAATACCGTAAATGCCAATGAGATTAAAAAATTTTCAAAGGAGCACCAAAAAAACCATTTGTCATTTTGTTACAATTTAACTTTTTAACAATCTTACAGGAATTGCATTTATTGTGTTTTCGTCGAGTTTACTCGTCGTCGCCTAGAAACAATTAAGCACACCAGTGCACATTCTCAAGCAATGATTCAAAGGAAATTCAAAGAAAACGCTTAAGGGATGAAACAATAAATGAAACAACTTTCACAAACTCACGTCGCAAAGTAAATTACATACTTTTTCTCTCTTCATATTTGCGCTTGCAATTTGAAATACAGAGGAAACACTTTGACGCTCTTTCCTGGAGTTGTAAAATTGTACCGTGTCACCCAACTCTTGCAATGAAACGTTATGTTATCCTTTATCGTTGATAGCCTTTCTCGTGAACGTGAATTATATAGCTTTGGAAGAGTAAATATCGTAAATTTTTCGACCGATCGCGATAAATAAGACAGACTACGTACATACGTAGTATATTTCTTGGAAAAAGAAAAAAAATAAGAGGAGAAAAGTTGGATATTTTTTAATTTTATAGCACAAAATTGTAATATTTGTTTTTTTACTTTTTATTATTTTTAATTAATATTATTCATATATTTTATATTTTGTAATTTATATATTTGTATTTTTTTTAATTTTTCCCTTTCTTTTTTAAGGGAATTTTATTTCTTTTCAAGGGACTCCTTTTTAAAAATTGAAAAAAATTAATCTGAAAAATTCATATATATATACGCATTTCGTATAGCATATTTCTTGGGGAAAAAAATAAGAGAAGAAAAGTTGAATATTTTTTAATTTTATAGCACAAAATTGTAATATTTGTTTCTTTACTTTTTATTATTTTTAATTAATATTGCTTATATATTTTATATTTTATAATTTATATATTTATAATATTCTTTTTTATTTTCCCCTTTTTTTTAAGGGAATTTTATTTTTTCTCAAGGGACTCGTGCCCATTTAAAAATTGAAAAAGTTAATCTGAAAAGTTCGTATGTATACGTGTACATATTTTAAGAAAGATAAACAACGACGTGATAACGTTGCATGTACGCAAAAGTTTAAAAATGGTCAATTAGACCGGTGGTGGTGGGTTTAGTGTTAACAAGCAAGAAATCGCGTAATCCACTGTTTCGTATAAAAATCGAACGAGAATTTACAGATCACCGCGAACTTCGGTTTACTAAAGCTGCGTGAAATTTTCAGTTCGCGAACTTTCGACGGTATATTCAAAGTTCTCGCCACGTCGTCGCCACGGCTGCTTCTTTCCTCGAAGAAATATCACTCGTTTCGCGGCTCGTTTGCGCTGTTACGTAAAAAAAAATTCGGTGGCGTCACGCCTCTGTGCCGACTTCCCCAACATTTAGGGGAGATCGTTGGGAAAGTTCGAAGACGAACAGCTCCTGTATAAGTAAATCGAAACGAGTTCCCCTCTCAGACTTACTTCGCCTACTTTGGCCATTTTTCCCGGCCAACCGTTCGGTTCGTCCACTTTGGTCAGATTAGAACACGAATTCCCTTTATTCTATCGACTTTTTCTCTCCCTTCTTTGCTCCCTCTCTCTCTCTCTCTCTCCTCGGTTATCTCGTCACTGCTGAAACTTGGAATATTACTTCACAGAATCTTTTTGTTCTTTACGACCTATCTTTCGACGTAAAAAAATATTGGAGGGTAAGTAACGAGAAAATGCCGATAACGATAGGTGTGCTCGTAACGTTTCACTGGTCTCTTTTGCAATTCCGGACTGCGAGACGTTGCTGGTTTACCAAGGAGAAGGGGAAAAATTTGTCCGTCCTGTTTGTCGTTCGTACGCCGAACTTTGGTCCCCGTTGCAACCGGGACGTAAATCGTTTCTCGTCCACTTTGCGATCCACGTAGCGAGAAAGGAACTTTTTAAACGAGATCTTAGATAAAATTAGCGGTAGAGTTTTACTCTCAAGTGTCCCTTGGATATAGGATGACGCAACGCGATAGAAGCGACAACGGTTTTACACTTTTAACGAGAACGAATAGACCGTAGACTTGTGGATTCGCGTCGTGCGAAGCAAAGAGTACCTGTATGCGTGTCACGCTCGGCTCGACTGATGATCAAGCGCGCCTTCTCGATCTTGGCTCGACGATCGAGAAAAAAACGGATGGAACGCGACTCGCCGGAGAGCGAGCGAAAGAAACTGTAGCAATAATCGAGCAACTTTGTTAGCGCTATTGACAAGCGACGTTTTTTTTAGCGAACGAACGTAAATGTAACGAAACTGTGGGAATTCAGAGCGGTCACGCGCGAGCGGCCAATCGCTTGGCAAGGAATCGCGCGCGCGTTTGACTATAATTGCCTATAGCACAGGCGAGACGTATGAATTTGACTTTGAAATCTCGAAACGTCGTATCTAACGTTAATTTGTAAAAATATCACGTTTCAGTCAATTTTTTTTCTTAAAAGTTAATGGTCGAATATATATATATATATATGCTAAATTTCATCAATCGCTGTTCCAAATCTTTATGATATTCGATAAATAATAATTTTCGAAACAAATCTGGCAATACTTTTTAATTTTAATTTTTAATTTCAATTCTCATCGCCAGTAGTGCTGCAGTGTGAAACCTGTCTGAATCGGTACGACAGGATGTGACACAAAAATGGTAATGAGCTCCTGATGAAAATACAAAAAAGAGAAACAAAGAAAAATACGCGAGGTCTATTCATATATGTACATAACTCGTCTGTGCTTATAGTATATTCGCGTATCGACCGCCAGTCAACCACCATATTTCCCCACGTGTTGTTTCACCCTCGACGAACGGTGCTTCGGCGATCCTTGCGTCGTTCGATTCACCTTGGAAACAAACAGGAAGAAACTGTTGGCGGGAAGATTTATTCCAGCCAGAGGCAATCAACCGATCGACTCTGTTCAATGTCAATTCGACTCTTTTCTTTCTCTTTTTCTTCTTCTTCTTTTTTTTTTTTTTTTCATTGCATCGCCAGAATATCCTCGTTGCTCGCGTACTCCACTATATTGTACGACGTCTCCACCATGAAATCTCATCGACGTTTCACGCTCCCTCTCCCACTTCTCTGCTTGACGCGACCTCAGAATATCCTTCCGAAATATCATTTCCAGCGACTTCGAAATGTCGAATAATTTTCGCTCCGTCTTTTGCTTCGCCTCTTCGATCACGTAGGTCTGATACGTCGCATAGAAGAAACTAAGCGAACCGACGCGACAAGGGTAACAATGGTTTTCGAGGGAGTAAGAATCGCCGACTCGCCGATTACGCCGACTGGCCGTTGCAATATTTCGATCATCGAAGCGGCGACAGTGTGTTACGTGCCGCGGGTGCGACACTCGGTGCTCGCGGTGGTTCGATACGATCGATAACTCCGTTCGTATAAATACATACGCGCACCGAACACAGTCGACTCGATCAATTCGTTTGATTTTTACACACTCTCAAGTGGGAGACTTTCTAACGATAAGAAGAAAAGGGACTTTCGCATAGCTGAGAACTTCTAGCTGCTTTTCGTGTAAAGTTCACAGTAGAGAAGCTTCGTCTCGAGCTACGATCTCCTCTCTTTAACTCGCTCCAGTGATACTGGACTTGAAGAAAGAAGGGAGGGCACAGAGAGAGAGAGAGAGAGTGAGAGGGAGGGAGGGAGAGAGAAAAGAGGAAAAAAGCAAGTACAAAGACACGACTGGAATACATACTACTGGTGGTATAAATACGGTACGACAGCGCGCTGAAGTACCTTCTTCTTCGGATTCCTCCAAAGGAAATACTTTTCGCACGTCGGCCAGTGTCTGCGACTATTTCGCGAATTGAACGAATCCGCAGAGATCCGAGGAGTGGAGCAAAACGACGCTCGAAGCGAGGAAAACACGCTCGTGCATATGTATTATACTTACACGTTCGTGTCGTAAGGACATCGAGTTCGAGTTCCATTCGACGGGCAACTTTATCGCGACAATCAAAAAAAAACGGCTTTATAAGGTTTACAACGTCCTGCCCTTGGTTTGGGAAACGACACGAATATTTCTCTGAAGAAAAGAAAAAAAAAGAAAAAAAAGGAAATCCCGATGATTCGTATGAGCAGAAAGGATGAAATGATCCGAGCATACAAATCTCTCTCTCTCTCTCTCTCTCTCTTTCTCTTTCTCTCTCTCCATCTATCCATTTATCTATCTACTTCTATTTCCATCTCTCACTCGTTTAGTGCACAAATGATTACAAACGAAAGAAAAATCAATCTCTTCACGCGTATGGTTAAAAAAAAAAAAAAAAAAAAAGAATTGTTCTACTACTAGCGTTATTATACTTGATATTTTTAAAAATGCTGCAAAGTTAAAGGGGCTATTCTAATGCGTGCCGTTATACTCGTATCGCTATTATCTCGCTAGTTATATACTAAACGCTAATCTACTGTTACTCTTACTTAAAAAGCAACGTGACAAACGTTTTCCGTCTAGAATGCGTACGGTACTATCTCTCTCTCTTTTTCTCTCTCTCTCTCTATCTCTCTCTCTCTCTTTCTTTCTCGCCCAACGAGGAAACGCGAATGAAGAAACCAGGAAAAAAAAAGAAGAGAGAGAAAACCCAAAGATAATACGCGAAAGAACGATTGCGAAAAAGAAACGATTCTCGATAGGTACACGTGCACACAAGCATGTACAACACGCACACACACACACACACACACACACAAAACAGACAGCACACGAGAGCACAAATGATAAAAGACAGGAGACACGCAACACACGCCAACATACAAACGTCAAAGTCATTGTTTTACGAACTTTCTGTGATAATTATTAACAATCACTAAATACGGGGAAAATCGCTAGTTAGGCAGGTGACAGAGAACAAAAGGGACAAGCTTGTAAATAAAGGACGGAGGGATGCGAGGGATGCGACAGTTGTTGTTTGCGACGATGGCGACTATGGGGTGAGCAGAGAAATACTGATAGGACAGACAAAAGGTCTTACGATCGAATCGTCGAGGAAAGAAACGATCTTGTTATGCGATAATGCGTTATTTACTGTTCCGTGGTTGGTCGACGATCACACAGCCATCGATCGTCCATGATACTACACACGGTCGTTCGATTCGAAGAAGAATCGACGACCGAGAGGCGACGAACGAGATGAACAAAGTACGAATACGTACCGCGACCTCGACACTGTATGTATGTACGTTGCTCGTTTACCACGAAAATCTAAGCGCATTGTTATTTTGTATGGTCCCCCCCCCCCCCCAGCGTTTTTTCTAAATAACGACGACATCGTCGAACACACGATAACGATGGTGATTAATAAAAATCATTTGAAGCACACAGGCGAACGCGACTCTTCCTTCTTCCGCCTCGTCTCTCTTTTCTTTTCTTCCCTTTCTTTTTTTCAGGGATTCTTCGTGCCCCACTCGAACGTCGTTTGTCGACTCGCGGCTGCCGCGGTCCGCATCAGACGCATCCGATGCAATTCCTCCGTGCGTCGCATGTCCTCGCTCAGTGCTTTGATTCGCAGCTGCACCTCCTGTATCGCCATCTCGGCGATTTTTACCTTGAGCCGTTTCTCCTCCGTCTGCAACCGACCGAAACAACAGATTCCACTCTCGATTCGGACCATATCTCACAACGTTAAACGTACTTCGAGCTGCTGCAGAAGCAACCTGTGCTTCAATCGACTACGATAGTCCGCCAAGAAAACGTAGCCCCTAGATCCCGCGCCTCGTTCGTTCTCGCTCCTCGAGTTCCTCCCTTTCGTGCCATCGGCGTCTTTCTCCTCGACTTCCCGCCTCGTACCATCGCCATCTTCTCTTGTCAATTTTCCCATCTGCTTCCCGTTACATCTTCCCGGCCAATCGTACTCCTTGTCTGCAAAGAAACACGTTCTATAACCACTTGCGCTGGCAACTGGATTGCGGACCATAACGAGTGACCGAACCGTGTATGTACAATCTTTGTAACCTCTTGCGCTCAAATGACGTGCACCTTAACGTCGTGCGCTGGAATTTTTTGTCTCAAAATTGGAATATTTTCTAAATATATTTAAGTATCATCCGGGCAAAACAAATAATAAATTTAATACTTTTCAACAACTTCTCTCCAGTGATATACCGACGAGTTCGAAAAGAAAGCGACGAATTATTTTATACGGTTCGGTCACTCGTTATGGTCCGCAATCAATTGTCAGCGCAAGGGCTTAACCTCTTGCGTTGGAATAGCGTGCCACGCACGTTAGGAATTTTTTTTGTCCCAAAATTGCAATATTTTCTCAGTTCTAAATATATTTAAGTATCACCCGGGCAAAACAAATAATAAATTTATTACTTCTCAACAATTTCTATCCAGTGATATACCGACGAGTTTGAAAAGAAAGCGACAAATTATTGTATACGGTTCGGTCACTCGTTATGGTCCGCAATCAATTGTCAGCGCAAGGACTTAACCTCTTGCGTTGGAATATCGTGCCACGCACGTTAGGAATATTTTTGTCCCAAAGTTACAATATTTTCTCAATTCTAAGTATATTTAAGTATCACCCGGGCAAAACAAATAATAAATTTATTACTTCTCAACAATTTCTATCCAATGATATCATACCGACGAGTTCAAAAGAAAAAGAAAGCGACAAATTATTGTATACGGTTCGGTCACTCGTTATGGTCCGCAATCAGTNAAAAAAACAAACAGACGGAAGCGCGAAAAAAAAGAGAAAGATGTTCACGAGACAACAGGGGCGAGAGGGTTCATTTGAATGCACGCGGATTCGAAGAGGTCTTGTCGCGCCGTTAGAGGTAAATCTCTCGTTTCGACCACGCAACGACACCCGAGGGTCTCCTTTTAGAAGCAACTCCGTCTCCATCTTCGAAGTCTCCATCTCTTTCTCCTTTTTTTTTTTTTTTTTTTTTTTTTTTTTTTTATTTTTTGGGGTTTTTTTTTTTTTTGATAATCTTGAGAGTTTTTCTATTCTTCTCTCTGTTGTTCGACGTAAGGTTGTTTTTTTGAGAAGGAAATTTAAAAAGTCTTTCCAACACAAAGATCATCTTCGGTGGTTTTCGTTTTGGATGAAAGAGTCGTCTCGTGAATTTTTCTATTTTTCTATTCGTTTCTGTCCTCGCGTACGATACGTTGTCTTTTCGAATTTGAGAAGGAAGTTTGTTTCTATGGGATCGTTTGCATCTCTTTGGCTGAAGGAAAATCTTTTGTTTCTTTTTCTTTATGCGCGTGACAGTTGTTTTTTGGAGTTGGAGGAAGTTTGGAAATTCTTTGCTCTCATATTGGAAATTATTTTACTTTGCGTACAGCTTGTGGACGAAATTTTGGTCATTTTTTAAAATCTGATGAAACTTTCTCTCGAGTAATTTCTCTTTTCCCTTTTAAATTTGCTCGAGATTTATCATATCGCGTTTATCAAGTTTATCGTACTTAAACAAATTTTCAGATAAAGATTCTCGACGCTTTTAATTTAAAAATCTTGCCCTATAAGTTCTGTGAAAAATGTTTTTAATCAATTAATAATCCCACAAGTTTCCTTTACATGATCAAATAAGTTATCGACGATTATTCTTAATTGAATAAATATCAATCTTCTATTACACTTACTACTACCAAGAGGTGTAAAGCTTGTATTAAAGAAATGCAAGGAATTCAAGAAAAACAATTTTATTACAAACGCTGTACGCTAACGTTGATTATACGTTCTAACGTCAATTTTTGATTTTCACTTCTCGTGCACGTGTTCGTCTTCAACTGTCAGTGCTAAGAGGAAAAAAAAAAAAAAAAAGAAAAAACTCTGCGTCGGTTACGAAACCGATATAACCGAGGAAAACGTTACGAAAGAAACGGAGGAGAGTCTGGAGGAAGATCCCTCAATTAGATTCCGCGACGGCGTCGATCATCCCCGGGACGATCGAAGGGGGGTTGAAACTCGCTACCCGTATGAGTTCTTATGCAGATTGGCCGATTGTCTTCGGGGTCCTTCCTCCTTTCTTTTTTTCTTTCCCTCTTCTTTTCTTCTCTTTTCTTTTCCTCTCTCGCCTCGATCATCTCCCCACTCCGCGGCCGAGAGAAATCCTCACGGAACGGCCCCGTTCCGTGAGAATCTACCGAGGCATATCATTTGCATGCCGCGGATTATTTAAATCGTCCCCTTATTGTTGGCTCCTTGTTTTTTCCTGCGGACCTCTCTCTATACGAGAGAGTTGAGTCCCATGGCGTGGGTCCTGCGGGCACACACCCGAGCCTAGACAAAAAACCGGCTGATCCTTGTATAGAGCCTGCGGAAGCGTCTCTCTCGCATCCCGCGGCTCTTCACGAAGGCCCCGTAGAACGCCGCCACCCCTTTAACAGCATCCCTGACCGGTCATCCCGATCCGGGGACTTGGATTTCCACCACCTTGCGTCACGTCGCGCGGAGCAACGTTCTCTTCTTTGTCTCTTGAACGACGAGCCTCGAAACGAAACGGTTGTTGCTGATTGCTGCGATTGTCCTTTCGCGTTAGGGGCGAGGAATGTTGGCGCGGGGTGTTTAATTGTTTCGCGAGGCGAAAGTCCGATGGATCGTGAGAAGATCGATTTTGTGATTGCTCGGTGATTCGTTGGGCGCGATGGATGGGGCCTTCTTCGAGATATTTTTCACGCGCGGTGGCGTGAAAGTTGAGTAAAGGATTTTGTTGTTGTTATTATTGTTGATATATTATTTATTGTCAATTATTCTGTTGCCATTGGAAGCTTTGACTGCTAATGTGTTTGCCGTCCAGGCCGTTCTGTAATCTGTAATAAACGAGTATGATTTTCTTTTTAATTTGTGTTAGTTTTGTTTCACAGTGTTTGGTGGAATTATATTTATTAACACGTCATTTGTTGTTAATTATTTTGTTATGATTAGAAGTTTGACTGTTGTCATGTTGTGTGCGTTCTATAATTTGCAATGAATGAGTGTGATTTTTTTTAAATTATGCTAGTTTTGTTTCACAGTATTTATTAAATAAAATTCGTTCAATACTAATTGTATCACGTTGATGTCACGGGACAGTGAACTTGTTAATTTGGTATGAATGTATGATCATTCAGCGATCTGTTATGCTTCTTTCGTAAATTTTATTATGATCGAGGAATACGAGTCGAAGGTTTGAGTGATAACGTAAATATGATTTAGGGTTGTTCAGTGAGTTTTCTATTCTTCTGGAATTTTACAAATTATGCGACAAGACGTAAAATTTTATTCTTTATTTCATTACCATTAATTGCTTAGTTTATTAACTATTATTAATAATTTTTGTAGCAAGTTTGCAATCGATATGCTAAAATACCTCGCAGAATTATTTTCCGTAGAGAAGATTGATTTGAGGGTTTAAAGATGGAAATATCTTCGTATGTTTACGTACAACTCTCGTTTCGATGAAGAATATTTCTAAATTTGGCCGACGATGGACAGTTCCTTCGATCTGGATTAAAATTTTTGTGGTACGAGTCCCTGCTTCGAACGAACACTGCATCAATCAACTGTCCTCTCAAAAATTTTAAATGTCCACATCAGACAATTTCAAAGAGACCTACTTCTTTTAAAAAAAGATATTCAAAGTGGCGAGTTAAAAACGGCACTGCGAAGAGTTATTTTATCTCGGGGAAGAGCCCCGACATTGCTTTGATTGAACTTTCATACTCAAAAAGTATCTTTAGCTTTTCGTGTCTCTCTTTTTTTTTAAAGATTTAAAACTGATCCCCTGCAAGCTCTCCGTGTTTAAATCAGTGACTTCAATTGTAGAAGGATCGTCAAGAACGATCAAACATGGAAGGATCTTTAAAAATTACAGATCACAAGTTATCCCAGCAAAAAGTGTGCACCTTTCGCTATAAAAAAAATGTGCCCTTTACGAAAAAAGTCACATTCACCTTGCAGTAACTCAAAAAACCTAGCTCTGTGAAAAAAAAGTGTGGAAAAAACACACCAAAAAAAAAAGGATAAAAAAGCACGAGAAAAACTATGTACAGTTGCTCACGAAAATACTCGAATACAGTTTCTTTAACACTGTAGTGAGATTCGATTATTGCAATTATATTGCTTAGCCAATTATCCATTATCTTGACTTTAAGCTTTAATATTTAATATAATCGTATTTAATTTTTATTATATTTTAATCTTAAATAAGTCATATTTTTATATTTGCATTTCCCAATTGGTTTCAACGTTTGCCAACATACTCATAACACTCGTGTTTCATATTACAATACTAATGAAATTTCTGAATATTTTATATAATTCACACAATATATATACTACGATGCATAAATAATCACAATGTGACAATTCCATTAAAATATTGGTATTTTTATTACGTTAATTTCCCACATTGTTACTCGTAACAAAATAAATAAATTCCATTAAAATTCATATTATAAAATATTTCTAATAAAAACAATTGTTTCTAGTAAAAATTCTGAATAAGTTATCCTGGTAAAATTCGTAATTCATAAAATCTCTATAAATGTCTTCAATTTGTTATATTATTACATTTATTATCAGTATCTATTAACTGTATGTCTTAGGATTAAATCAAATTAGATTCACTTGTATTAACAATTGCAAATATTTTATATTCGAAGAATTTAAGCGTCTAAATATTTATCAGAATATTGTTTAATACGAACTTACAGGGAGCACGTGTAATTAGATTTCATCCACTGACTCTCCCCCTTGTTACTAATTCACATAACATATAAAAATCAACCAACAGGAGTCCATTTAATCGAGCATCGTTTAAAATTCACCTCAAACAAACGCAGTTCGTACGTATGAATAAAGTAAGTGTATGTCTGTTGTGCAAGAAATTTTGAAATTTCCCTAACACTGTGAGAAATATTTTATACGA